GGGGGGGGGGGGGGAGGTGTCCTAGTAGAGAAGCCATGATGACAGGAACTAAACTTATTTCCTAATGCTTACAATTCTTCCCTTGCCCTTGATGGGTGGTGCCTGGTGCATCTTCGGAGTATCTTAAGTGGCTTCATCTGCTTTCCGGAATTTCTCTTTCTTTCCTTCCTTAGACCCAGAGGTAACCTAGTCACTTAGCTTCTGTAGGTAATGGCCTCTCCTTCCAAGGACCCTGCAGAGCACAGCATTTGTGTACTGGGATTTAAGGGCTCATTAGGGAGCAGCAGGGTTTGGTGTAAGCAAAAGGTGGGTGGGCTGGGGCTGAGGACCCTGGGTCTTCCCAGAGGATTCCACCTGACCTCAACATACTTGTTGTTCTAGCTCGGTCTCAGGCCAGAGCTGCCAATGCTCCAGGCGCATGGGTGGGGAGGGTGTTGCCAAACCTGGTTCTCTACCCTTGCTTCCAACCCTGAGTGTGGAAATCTGTGTCCCATATCTGGGCTATCAGTTTCGTCCAGCTCACTGCCTTCTCTGTGGTAGCACTTATCATGGCCCGCAGAATCTGGTGGGGTGGGGCGGGGGAGATGCTGGGACTTTGGAAGCCTGTCAAGGCCTGAAGACCATGGAGGTACTAACTGTGGCCCCTTTCTCCCTTGCAGGGTGCAGATGCCTCATCACTACAGAAGAGGGCAGGTGGTGCCGATCAGGTCCGTCTCTTTGCTCTCAGATTCCCATGGAAGGCCCCCGAACCCTCTCAGTCTTGCTCCTGGGTCTGGCCAATCTGAAATTCTCCCTCCTTCACTCCCCCATTCACTAGTTTTCTCAGCCTGGCGCAGGGTGGCAAGAGGTGGCAGCTGTAACTTCCAAGGTAAGATATCTACCACCTGGCCATCTGGTTTGGGTCCTGGTCCTTCTTCGGTTTTCTACCCTCACCTTCCAAGTAACATATGAAGAGTTGGGAAAGGTACTGAGGGAAAGAGAAGGCAGGTCATTTGGGCTATGACAATAAAGTGAGGCGAGGGTATGGGCTCTGGGTGGCTGGAGGAGATTCTATAAAAGAAAACACATGACCCAAGTCTGAGCAGGAAGGTGGGGTGTTTATTCCAGAGCAAAGTGCCTCTCTCCCCTCTCTTTCTTTCACAGAACTACAATTATAACCAGCAGGCATATCCTACTGCCTACATTGGGCAGTACTCAGCCAAGACCCCTGCTAAGGTAAGACTTACAACTGCCCTGTCTTCCCACCGGGGTCTCTGCATAGGGGAGAAAGAGAGAGGCTTTTAATGCCAGGCTGAATCCTGTTTGCTTTGAAAGTTGGGCCGTTCCATCCCATTGTATGGGAGATTCATTCCCTGAGAACAGCCTGGAAGTAGAGGGAAAGAGGGTTCAATGCTCTTCACATCCATCCACACAAAAAAGGTTAAAAGGGAGCAGCAGCTGCATTATATGCAACAGAGAAAACTGGAACCAATACCCTCTCAAAAAGCAATATATGGCTCTAAAAAAATCACATGGCACATGGCAAAACACACAAATAGCTTTTCTTCATTCTGTCTGCTCTGCTGATCTTTTTGGGGGGAGTGGAATAGGAAAGATAAAAAAAGACTAGCACTGAGGAGAAGTCAGTTTAGGAATGCTTGGTTGGTAGAAAAATGAATGTGTTATTCACAAAGGATGTGAATGTGTTATTCATAAAAAAAATGGGGGAATTTTATTTCCTTCAGTTGCAAAGTAGGCAACCTTATAATATCTGTAAATGAATTTGCTAACTACTAATTAGGTTTGAAGCAGGGTAGCTAGCATAGCTTAGAGATAGATGAGTTTCTTTTCTTTTTTTTTTTTTTTGAGTT